AATAAATTTATCAATAAAATTAAAAAATTTCAATACATTATCTATTTGAATCTTAATCGCTATTCGTTAGTTTCAAATTATTAAATAAAATTTTTTTAACAATCACTTTATTTATAATAATTTTAAAATATATAAATTTACTAAATAATTATACTTATCGATTTAGACAAAAATCACTAACCGTCCTGCCCCAAAATTCCTTGGCAAAGTCAAAGTCAGCTACAGCCAGTGGGGTTTCTTCTATTCAACAAGTTGAATGCTTCTGCACGTTCTCATCCCATCAGCTTGACTCAACGAGTTGATGGTGTTTGCTTTATTGCCTCTGAGAATTACTCACTTTGAATTGGGTAAACCATTTACGATCTGTTGTAAACAGTTTCTGTGTTCTACCCAAGGCCAAGCTTTAGGATGTTAAGAACAAAATTCATTTTAGTTCTCAGCCTCATGGCCCTTGCTTTGTCTCTCTGTCCTGATGCCTGTATGGCTAGAGCCAAATACAAACCTTGCTCCCCTTTTTCTTCTTGCGGCAACCATAGTATTACATACCCTTTCCGATTGAATACCGATCCTGTTGAGTGTGGTTTACCAGGGTATGAACTAGTATGCGAGAACAATCGCACAACTTTGGTCACAGAACAGGGCAAATTCTTTGTTGAGAATGTCACTGAATATACCAGGTATTATGAAGGCGCAGACGGGAAATCATTCGTTGGGAACAAGCCAGGGTATACAGTCCGATTGGTCGATGCCAGTCTTCGGAGGGATAAGTGCTCCATTCCTCGCAGTTCCCTTAACTGCCCATGTTGCGGGTTTGGGGGTTACACTATGTATGTTCTAAATTGCAATATAGCAATGAACTCATCACTTTATGTTGATACCTCACCTTGCACCAATAGATCTTGCCCTCCATACACCTACTTTTTTCTTTCCAATTATGAAACAAAGGCATCAGATTTCAATGAGTCATGCAGAATTGAAGCAGAGATTTCGTTTTCGCAGTTGGCGGTTTTTCTGCCTAATATCACAGGCCTCTCTGCTTCTGATATCTATCATATACTGCTAGAGGGCTATGAAATCGATTGGTCGTATTGGGTCGACTATGTTAATAACCGCTGCTGGGTAGACAAAATTACATTGAAGGTGATGTAAGTAATCAGAAACTTGTCAACATCTTCACTTTATGCAGAATATAAAGAATACACTGTTTTGATGCTCTTAACTTCTCATTCTGCTTTCAATTTTTTTACTTTGTATTTGACTTGATATCACTTCATTGGGCTTTGTTTAACGTTGTAGATTACAATCAGTGGAGTATGCATTGGAATCGTTTCTGGACAGCTTTATATTTTTCCTTCTGGGCGGCCCCCATGTAAAGCATAATTCGCACTTTCCACCAGATAGTATGTCTTAATATATAATTTTATTAATTAATGTTATAATTTTATTTTATTAATATATATAACCATTTGTCTGTTTAAATAACATTGGCTTTTTTTTTTTGGTAACAGGTACATATATCAAATGTCTTCTAACAACAGGTATGCCTCTGCTTATATTTGAAAAAAAAAGAAGTTTATACATAATTTCTTAGTTAATGTTGGAATCTAAAATATTTGTAGATCACAAATGTTATACAAGTTTTACATGCAAATAGCGGAAAATTTCCAGAAAAGCATTCAACTTGTGAAGATAAATTAAGAATAAATTAAGACCTAGTTTAATGTCATATGAAAAGCTCCTCTACTGTATTTGTTTCAAATTATCATTGGCACACTCTTTGTATTTACACTATATAGTTCCTTAAGAAGACAACAAGCTAGAATAATTTGATAAATTCTTTAAATAAATTGAAAACATTATTCATTTTCATAGGAGGGTTACAAAGTAGTAGATACTAATCTGTGTCTATCTTTTTTCTTGAGAAGGAGCAATTGTATCAGCTAGAGCTCTGCCTGGGATATCCATCTTACTCACAATCATTGTGTACAAATTGAGGAGGAGACATTTGTCTGTGGATGATACACTTGAAGAGTTCCTTCAAAAGCAGAATAACTTTATGCCTATTAGGTACACATATTCAGAAATAAAGAAGATCACTGGAAGTTTCAAGAATAAATTAGGTCAAGGAGGTTATGGTTCGGTTTTTAAAGGGAAGCTTCGAAGTGGCCATTTTGTAGCAATAAAATTACTGAGCACGTCAAAAGGTAATGGCCAAGATTTCATCAATGAAGTTGCTACCATGGGAAGGATTCATCATGCTAATGTCATGCAACTGATTGGATTTTGTGTTGAAGGATCTAAGCAAGCCTTAGTATATGACTTCATGCCCAATGGGTCTTTGGACAAAATCATATTTTCAACGCAAAGCAATA